TTACTTGTATGTTGGAAAAAGATGATACTCGGGCTTGAGCGAGTGTTTCTTCCCTGGTGTGGCCTCAAACATCGCTCTCCGTCATGCCCTGAAATAAAAACCAGATTTTTTGGTCTTCCAGGTGGCTCTACGGAGCTGTGGTGTACACCATTCGATTCTCCATGCAAAATGCTATCGAACGATATACATCTCAGTTCCCGCTTGTTCGCCACACAACCCGAAACACACAAAGGCCGCGCGGGGTAGGGGGGTACTCAGTTCCCACTTGAAACTTTCGTTTTTCACCGTTTTCGGCCTTTTCCTTATCGCCGATCGCCTTCCTCAGCCCTGGCCACTCACGTGCGCGGTGCGTGGTGACTTTCCCACGCACTTTCGACACGCATAGCGGTGTATCGATCGGGCTGCCCGCCAGCTACCGAGAAAGGCCATCGGCTGTCACGTGAGCTCTCACGCTCCGCGCACGTGAATAGCACGTGGGTGGCCAGGGCTGAGGAAGGCGATCGGCGATAAGGAAAAGGCCGAAAACGGTGAAAAACGAAAGTTTCAAGTGGGAACTGAGATGTATATCGTTCGATAGCATTTTGCATGGAGAATCGAATGGTGTACACCACAGCTCCGTAGAGCCACCTGGAAGACCAAAAAATCTGGTTTTTATTTCAGGGCATGACGGAGAGCGATGTTTGAGGCCACACCAGGGAAGAAACACTCGCTCAAGCCCGAGTGTATCATCTTTTTCCAACATACAAGTAAACTTACTCTACGATAGGGAAGAGAGTTCGTCCCTCCCTTCTCGAATTTCCTCAAAACATCCCTTCGAAAATTGGGAAATGTCACAAAATGGATCTAGTGGCAGGTAAACTAGATGTTCTCCAGAAAGTGAGTTGTATACCGTTCGACAGTATTTTTTATGGGGAATTGAATGGTGCACATCTCAGTCTTCTATGTTCATCTGGAGAACCAAAAAAATCTGATCATATCGCAAGGGCATGACGAGGTGTGATGTTTGGGGTCGCACTACGGAAGGAAGACTCACCTGCCACCAAGGTTTCTATGTAATTCCTACAGACAAGTAACCGTAGTCTACGTCAGTAAAGGAAATTTGTCGCTGCCTTCACAGCTTTCTACATAACAGCTGCTCTAAACATGGAACAAAAAAAGTTGAAGTTGTCGCAAAAAATGGGGCGAGGTGTGATGTTTGGGGCCCCACTACGAGAATGAATGTCATATTCGTAATCAGGGCATCGAATTACCCCAATAGGCAAAGTTTCGACGAAAAATGAAACTTTGAGATTTTGGGATAGTAATAGTGGAATAATGATGCGCAATTGGCAATAGGGAAGGCTGAAAACGGTGAAAAACCAAAGTTTCAACTGGGAGGAGTAATGTATATCATTCGATAGCATTTTTCACGGGGAATCCAATGGGGCACATCTCAGGTCTGCGAGTTCATCTGGAAATGAGCAAAAAATCTGATTTTCATTTTAGGGCATGACGGAGAGTGATGTTTGGGGCCACACCACGGACGGAGCGCTTACCCGTGACCAAATATTCTACCTCTTTCCTACAGACAAGTAACTGGAGTCTACGTCTGTGGAGAGATTCCTGGCTATCTTCTCAGGTTTCCGCAAATCATCTCCTCTAAATGTGGGGAATGTCACATAATAGGTCTACTACTACTGCTGGAAACTGTTCGAAGATTCTCATTTGGAGTGGAAGAATGGGTTGATCAGCGCACGGTTAGCCAATTAGCACTAAAACGAATTAAAGATCGTGAAATTCGAAAAAAACATTCATTCAATCTCACCATATGGTGGACCGGTTGGGTACGTGGCGTATTCTGAGGGTGTTGAGATCCATGTTTCTGTGGGATGATTCAGGCTGCATAGGAGGACTTATATGCGCATCACATACAAAGTATATTCATTACTTCTCGGGATGGAGGTCGAGTGCATGGCGCAATCCTAGATGGAGCTCTTTCAGAAATTGAATTTAACCATCTTGTAGATCTCGAGCAGAGCTATCAGATGGTATAAACTGCAGGTCGAGCGAACCATTTTTTAAAGAGTTATGGCGAGCCGACGGTTTGCGACGGTTTCCGACCGTCGCAAACCGTCGATTGAACAAAAATTAGTAGCGGTATTGTATGATATAACCAGTTTTTTGGGAATAAGGATTGAGAGTTGCGCCTTTGAAGAAGAGTTTCCCGCATGAAAACATGTGCGTGATGGATTCAGCCAGACTCAATTTCGGAATTGTTACGCAGACGGTGGAAGCTTATGACATTTCGACTCAGTTCGACTGAGCAAACACTACGAAATTCTGAATTGCCTTATTCTAAAAGGGTGGGTCCCTTGTTGCCCCAAAAATGAATGGGTGAGGCAACAAAAGCATCACTGAACTGTCACTACCCCCAAATCCATCTAAATTTTTTCAAAACATTGCCCATAGGACTCATTCAGCGCTAAATAATACACTTTTTTTTACTGTTTTCGCGTATGACGTCAGTTTTGGGCGAAGCCGTTTTTTTGAATTTTTTGAACCAAATTTACTTAACATCAAACGGATTGATCCATGATAGGGAGGCTACATACCTCCTCAGTTTACATGTCAAATTTTCTAAATCAGTTGGTGGCAAACTGGCATTGTGAGGAGTCTAAAAAGGAAGCCGATGTTTTCGTCAGAGAAACGGATAACCCTCATAAGCGATGGTACGAACCGTTTTTTGAGATATTGAAACTGTTATCATTGAACAATGCAAAAGCGTGGTGCAGAGGCTGCGTTTTGACCAGAAATACGAACACGCTCTGACTCACGGCATCCAAAATTATTAGGTCGGTCCATAAGTCTTGCAACAAACTACATTTAATGCTATAGAATTTTAGGGAGAACTCCTGAAAATCCGCAACATATTTCCTGACGTAGCATCAACCTTTGCAATTTCAGCCAACGGTCCAGCTCGTTGTCTGCTTACTTATTATGGATATTACACCGATTTCGCGAGAGGGCTCTCGTGCCCTTAATTTTTACGAGTACTGCTTGGAATGTTCCGCAAGTCATGCTAGACCAAGGATTGGCCAGAAGATAGGCGAGGGCACGCTCTCTCAAACCACAGTGCAACGGCGCTTCACTCTGCTCAGCGTTGACTTTTTTTATTTGAAAATAACCCACACTCCAACCACCCTGTGACTGACAATCACGATGCTCTATCTGACGCTGTTGAAAAGGGATCTGGATAGAGTATCGATCATTTGCTAGAGCGATTCCGATGCGACAAGGAGACAGCACTGTGGCATCTCCAAAGACTTGTGAAGATCCGAAAATGTAGAGTTTGGTCCCCACGTGCCTTGAGCCCGATTCAGCTCCAAACACGATCTGACACCGTTATGTTCAAGTCGACTTACTAGGGATTCTACGATTGACCATCCATCACATTTGCCGAAGATGAGGAGTGGGTACAGTTTACTAACAAATGAACAAGCGGCGGTAGTCCAGCTCAAACGCTTCGGGAGATCTTATTGCTTAAGTTCAACCTCGTCCAAGTAGGGCCTTCTCGGATTTTTGGTGGAACACGGGAGAGTTAAGCTCTGGAAACCCCTCCGTGTAGATGTCGCAGTCAACGCGAAAGTCAACTCCACAGCTCGAATGCAACGCTTTTAATACGAAAGAAAAACAAGGCAAAGTTTGCTTTTGTATGACACCGTTGAAAAACCTCTTGCTAAGAAAATTCAGGAAAATTTCGAGACTCTGGGACGGAGAGTTCTTCCGTATTCACGTTATAGCCCTGACCTCGTGGCAAATAATGCCCTTCTGCTCCCCTCTCCAAACCATCTCCTAGAGAAGAAAGCTCATCCTAACTATGATGATGTCAAAATCGACATCTGATCTTTCTTCGATCAGAATTCAGTAGAGTCCTACAAGGGAGGCATCGAGCAGCTACTAGTGTGTTGGCAATAGGTTGTAGATATTGATGGAGGGTAGCATGGATGAATGGAACAAAAAGATAATGAAAATATTAAATTCAAAATTCGGCCAGTTTGTTGCAAGACTTATGGACCGACCTAATATCTTTGCACTCGAATTACTCGATAGTGAACTTCTTTCAAGAGGGTCGAAAAGATATTGCGCAACGGGTGATTGCTACGGGGATATTCCTTGTGCAACGGGTTAAGGACGAGTTGCGAAATAAGCTGGAGAAAGTCCCGATAAAGATATTGACCTGATGAGTGCACGTGCGAAACGGACACTAAACTACTCTTCGAATCCCACCCCTTCCAATACAATTTTAGAACAAGTACAAAAGTGGTGTTATGACTTCAAAACGATCTTTTACTCGGAATAAAAAACAATGAAGGACTTTTGAGTACAATAATAGAACGGAATAAATGGTAATATACTAAACGATGGAAATATACTGAATGATCAATTCCATTGTCAAGTGAAGTTTACCAGGATCAACCCTCACTTTTTCAAAAATTTGCGACTCTCCCCACTTCCTTAGGGGGTCTCGATGCGACCACCCACCACCATCATTCTTAGAAATCTTCCCAATACGATCCCGTTTCTCCTTCTCCTACCATCACCCTCGCCATCATGGCTGTTACCGTAGTATTTGATTCGTGGGGAAAGCTGACGTACTCCAACTCTGGGAAATGCGTATCATGAAGCGGCAAATCCATTTATTTTCGCAACCCCCACTGACCATCTCCGTAAACTTCCGGATCACTATGATAACATTGCTTAACCCTAAATGAGACTCTGCTTCCCGAAACCGCAAATGCGGGATCCTCGTTTGAATAGTTGACGCTGATGATTTTCGCGTTTGCTTTGGAGTTCGGTTTAATTAGTGGTAACACTGAGGCAGCACCTGTTTTGAACGAGATTTCCCAAGGCTTTTATTTTTTTTTATAACCATTCAGGTATACAATTGCTATTTCGAAGAACTTGCAAAGAAGGTACTCGATTATAATGGAAAACATTACCAAGGTTGGAGATTTGGGGTAATGATCAACCATTATGAAAGGTATTCGTTTCAGTAGTATTCCTCCTTGCTGTTTCTATTCACAACCGCTTACCTTGCTTTCTTTCAGTCGAGTTTCTGGTAGGTCCTACGATGTAGAGTTTCAGAAGACGAAGGAAGCGATAAATCACTGGCTGAGCGACTACCCCTCATTGCAGAGAGTAATATTACACTTTAAGTAACAACTATTTGAATTTTTGTGCACTTCTGGATTTTACAGCTTATGTACCCGTTTGTTCCTTATGTGGGGTGTGCGTACAAATATTTCAACACTCGTCAAGGGCTGTTTATTAAAATAGCCTGCGCATATCCAAACAAACGGTTTGTAGTTATAAAGCCGAAACGGCCACTGTTCCTGAATGCATAGTTTTCAGACCCTGGTTGGGACCACTAATTCCGGAACCAACAGGATACTCATGCCGAAATGATTGGGATTGTAAAAGATATGGCTGGCATTACAATTGCGTGATCAGCGTCGGTCTCTGTTTTGCTCCATTTGATACCGAATACTGGTTCGCGTAAACTTTAAAGAACAGTTTAAATTGATTACGTAGCTAAGGTTAGAGCTCATCATGACCTTTTTTTGAAAATGCTTATATTTCATCAGTTCCTCTCATGTCGTATAGAGTACGTAGTAGAGCAATCAATAAAGTTTGCGATCACTCTAAGCTCGAAGGCATAGTTTTTTTTATCACGGACTTTATTTTCATGGAATCTTAAAGACAGAAAATTTAGGATCACAAAGCTAGGCACTCCTAGATGTGAGAAACATGATTCAAAAGAGCTTTTCTTCGCTAAGCCCTGATGTTTTTGTGCCTGCCTACCCTAATTCGTGTGTCCGTGTCAGACTTTGCGAATCGAACAATTTGCTAAATCGAACGGCCTTGTCGATTTGCTAGCGGCCTTGTCACCTTGGGGTACCAGCGAAGCGATTCGCTACGCGACCGCAGACGCTAGCGGATTCGCGAAGTCAGACATCGGCCATATCTGTGTATTTAACACGGATCAACAGTACAAAGCTTAGTACACAAAACGTGCAGCCCAGACCGTAACAAGAACCATTCGAACTTGGGTGGAGAAGATGCAGGGGTTCCTGAACTTTTG